GGAGAAGTTAGACTCCGTCATGTCTTCGCCACCTCGTACATAAACGACTCTGCATTAGCCAACCCCAACTTCCCCCGCCTCCTATGGCAGACCTTCAACTACCTCGCACTGCTCCACAATCTAGGATTCTTCCTCAACGACCTCAGTCTCAATAAACGTTCTCTAATACCTTCGCAAAGTATTCGCTTCCTCGGTTTCATTCTCGACTCGCATAACAAATGAATCAAGATACCTCAAGATAAGATCCTAAGAATCCAACAGCTTATTCAATCACCCCAACCCTCCTGCAGCAGGACAATCGCGAAACTCGCTGGTAAACTTGTCGCCCTGTCCAAAGCTTTCATGCCCACCCATCTCTACCTCTCTTCACTCTATCAAACCATCAATCCCGCCAACTGGGACTCACCAATCCAAATCTATGACAACCTCATATCAGACCTCTGTTGGTGGCTCCTTCACCTACCTCTCTTACTAGGAAGACTCTGGACAGTTCGCACAACCACCCTGTCCATTTTCACTGACGCATCAGCCAACCAATTTGCCGCAGTCATTCACTATCTCCCTAATCAACCAATCATATTCAATCAATGTCTTCATGATCATCTACTTCACTCATCATCAAATCACAGAGAACTTTTCGCAATACGCGAAACTTTCATTTACTTCCTTCTTCCTCCATTAGACTCCACTTTGATAGCCGGACAACAATCGCACTCCTTCTAAAAATGAATTCTACAAACCACTCCTTCAACCCATTGCTCCGCGACATCGCCTCTATACTCGTCACTTTCGATGTACTTCTCAACCCCTTATGGATACCACAATCACTTAACGCAATCGCTGATTCCATTTCAAAAATAGAAGATAACACAGATTGGGCGTTAGCTAGCCATCTCCGTATCACAATTTTTTTCACTTTAGGAATACCGGACATAGACCTCTTCGCCTCCGACTACCATCATGTTTGCCCAATTTTTGTCTCTAGAAACTGGTCCAACAAAGCCTCACAAATAGATGCACTGTCCCTTAACTGGAACGATCTCCCGTCCCAATCATACAGATGGGTTTCCCCCCCCACCTCACTGCACTCCTCCATCAATTCCTAGCCAGAATTGTAACAAGCCCAACACACTATCTACTCATCCTACCCTCTTCTCAACGCACTTCGTGGTACCCATAAGTACTCTCACTAAAAATTATCCACCGTTTCACCATCCCCGAGTCCGAATTCTCCTGCCTCCCCAACCATAGGGTCAAGCCCTCCGCCCCCAACCCCGCAATCCTCGGACTCACGGCTATTTTTTTCGTGACCTAACCCCTCACATGCACTAACATCACCCCGCCTTTTCCACCCACGCTTCATCCCATATCCGTATCTCATGAATATCCCAACATTGCTCGAAGTACCCTGCCGCATCATCTCCCCCAAACTCCAACCCTCCTCTATTCCGCTTGGACCCCACCTATTCTAAAACTATGCCCACTTTCCCCTTCGTACAAACCTATCTCCCCAAACCACCTTTCTATTCGTTTGTTGTACCCACCACCACTCATCGATCCCACCCCGCGCATCGGCTGGAATAGATACCAACCCCTCAAATCTTGCCCTATCCTCTCATAACTCGCTAGCATATCAGGAAGCCATCCAAGAAACGTCTCTCTCCATCACTCCACGCATCCCGCAACCTAATCATAAATCGCCCCCCCTGTTTGTCAGTCTTTGTGTAACCTGGTCGCACGACACTGTGACGCCCAACCTCACGCCCAACGCGACTTCCTGATCGGAGTGGGATGTGGGCCTGGAAGTGCGAAAAGGGGTGTGCCAAGGATTTTTTGGAAAGTGGAGTCCCAGGTCAGAACTGAGATCTCCTGTGACAGGGTCTTTCGGGGGCACGAGTGCAATTTGGCGAAGAAGGCGTTTTCGGGTTACAAGGCGGATGGCATGCGTGGTTTGCTCAAGACCGAGCGAGCCATTGGTTTCAGGGACGACGGTTCATGGGCTGGCCCCTTCGGGGTAGGTGAGGTTCCAAGGAGTCCGTTTGTCGGGAGTTGCCACATGGTGCTGATCGTCTCGCGTGCGGGTTAGGCCTTCGGAACTCCGGGGTTCTCTGATCGCCACGTCGTCGACAGTTTTCGCGGGGTGTGCTGGGCCAGTAGGGAGCTATGGCTGGCCACGGAACGACACTGAGTTGATGGTACGGAAGAAGAAGGCGGAAGGGAGGGAAACTGGTGGTGATGACGACAAATCCCGGGTGGACGAAGTAGTAGGTATGGTCGGGAAAAGGGAAATCAGAGCACCGAGGGCCGCTAGAGGTGGCGCAGTGGAATTCCCGAGGACATAGTCGATTCTCAGTGTGGCAGGGATATCGCTGCCTTAAGATTTCGTTTATCCAAGGGGTAAAATAATCCGGGTCGTAGGATGAGTCCGAATTCTAGGATCGCGTCACGGTCATTATGTCAATGCGGTATCCTGAGTTGCCTAAGGACGAGTCTGCGGCGATCGCGATCGTCGCGTGAGAGCACGTGCAGGCCGCGCGACTGTCGTCGGACTTACGCGTGCTCGTGCGGGACGATTGCATCGTTGTGGATTTCGAGATGGCCACTCCCAATCGGACAGATTGATGGTCCCGATGAGTCGACGCCCGGGGATACATGTAAGTGCGCAACTCAGATCGCGTTTTACACGTGTCCTCGCGCGGCGTTCACCGAGCTTGGCATCCGACCGCCTAATCATTTCGTGATGTTCTGAGTTATGCAAGATGCAATGATCACAAAACAGCTTGATCCAAAGACAAGCAAACACACAGACATAATCATCAATTGCGCAAAATTCCTATTCTACTTATGTGTGCATCGAGTGCGACGAACAATGCAAGGACAAAAGATTGTCCGCAAAACGTAAACAAGCAAGCATAGCCTCCATATATCCGCATCCTCAATAATCATACACACGATACCCCAAAGGCAAGGACAAAGATCAAGAAAATGATCGAAACATGGCATCAATACATTCATAGTGCATCGGAGAGGGGCATCGCAAAGACGAGTGTGAGCAAAAATCCAAGTCCAGGTTTCGAAAAACAGAAGGGAAAATAAAAAACGGGCGAATCGCCGGGAGCCGCAATTCAAAATTTATGTACACAGGCAGGGAGGGGGAAAAAACAAAGAATCAGCAAATCTGCATCCATCCACTTCAACTCTCTCTCCCTCTCTCTCTCTCTCTTCTCCGATGCGGACAGTCCGTCGTCGCGCATCAACCCACGAAGCCGTCACCCCTCGTAGTCCTCCTGCACCTGTCAGGTTCGCCCTCGCCCACAGTCCGGCGTGGCCCACGTCAACCCCGCGCGTTCGGCACCAGCTCGTCGGGTCGCCCAACTCCTGCTCTACTCACCTCTTACTTCGCTCGTGTGCCGACCCTTCCTGATCGCGCAACCCCGAGCTTCCAACAGTTGGTTAAGAGAGTTAACTAATCGCGCAGTTGGAATTTATAGCGTGCATGCATAAGAACACGGAATTACAAGGACTTAGAAGAAGGGAAGGGGGAGGGATTTGCCTACGTCAGCATGGTCTGATTGCGGCTTGGGGGACGTAGCCGCTCTCCACGCATCGATCCGATCATGCAGACTGCGACTACCAAAAAGCGAAGCAAAAGAAAGAGAAGAGGGACGGGAAAGACGAAGTGCAAGAAGGAAGATACAATCACAATGGTGCCCGCCCAAAATTACAGTTACGCACACGATTAAAGGCGCCTACTAATCAGAGTTCTGTTGCAGCCGCATGAAGAAGCGCTTAGACAAAAGGCGCCGCGCGGCAAGAAAAATCCTAATTTCTAAATTCCTAAATTCCTATCTAATGCGAAGAAGCAAAAGCACAAATTCCAGAGGGGAAGTCCGAAATTCCGAGAGCCATCGGGGCTCGACAAAATTCAAAAAAAAAACTCAAAAGAAAAATTCAAAAAGAACGACGCAATTTCCCGCGCGATGTCCGCGCCCAAAAGATCGAAACCGAAACGAAAGAAACGATGTCAACCTTTATTAATCGCGCGCGCAGTGGCGCACCAGCCATCCAGCCGACCAATCAATCAACCGGCCATCCCAGGACACACCCAGCTCCGAACCCAGCCATTCGAAAAGAAGCGACGAAAAAGACGAAAAAGTAAGGACATTAATGCAATTTCCCACCGATCCCGATCTCCCGTAATTGGCCCAACCTTCCCAACTTAGGACCCCTCATTGCAACCGCGCAGAAAGTCGCGCGTTACAGAAAGTGGTTCGTCACATATGTGACGCCCAGGGGGTTCCAATATTAGCAAGCTCATGCATGCTTGTGCCACGTGTCGATTTCTTTAATCGATCGACACGCGGAGCATCTCTCTCTATGCCACTTACCGTTCAATTGAGTGTGGACGTCATCCAACGTGGCAATCATTGCTCTTCTACCAATTCCTCAGGGTGGGCTTTCGAAATTCCAAGGAGGGGGATTACTCGTGCCGCCGTTATGACACGTGTCCATTAGCCATGCATCAGTGCAACCAGGAGGGTAGACCCTAAACCCTAGACGTTCCCGGAGAATGGCAGTCGAATCATTGAGGGTGGAGGTGGCGGATGGTTCAGGGGGAGAGGGGGCATAAATCGATTGATGGCGGGAGAGGCGAAATCAGGAAGGGTAGCGTAATGGAAGGAGCGATGGATGCGGGGGAAGCGAAGGTCCTCATGAAGATGGCGAAAAGCGGCGACGTAGTCGGGGTAGATGGTAGAAAGGGTCCGTCGCATGGCGGCACGAAAATCTTCGTAGTTTTCGCAGGCGGGAATATTTCCAGATATAATACAGTATATTTCTACGTGGTTATACTCCCGCCAGTCTGCGCTAAACAGGAGAACATGGAGGAGAAAGGAATCAACCACAGAGCGCGTGGTGGCATGCGGATAAACGGAGACGAGAAGACGGGTAGCGTAGAGATGGTAGAAGAGGTGATGGGGGAAAGGACACCAACCATCGGGGAACGGGGGTCTATCGGGAAGAGGGGTAAGCATGAGGTAGTCATGGGGTCGGCGAGAGAACGACCGGGGACGAAGCCTGAACGTCGAGATCTTGATGTAGACGAATGGAGGGTCGGGACGGGGAGCCGGAGGGAGATGGCGATTCACTTCTTCTTCTTCTATTCTGCGATCCCTCTGTTGTGGTTTCATCGTCTTCTTCTTCTGGCGGCTCCGGATCACGCCATGGGTCCCCGATCGGCGGATCGACAGGAGAAATGTTTGTCGTGGGTCGCTTTCCCTCCGCGGTCTCCTGGCGCTTCCGTTTCCTCTGCTCTTGCGCTTGTTCTCGGGCCGCGTCACGCACCTCGGCCTCGAATCCTTCGTACTCCGACTCCGCTTGCTCGTTTTCTTCTTCTTCTTCCTCGTCTGGTTCTACCTCTTCCTCCTCTTCGTTCTTTTCCTGCGGCTGGCTCGATCCGTCGGCTATCCCCGCTTCTCTTTCCGGTACGTAGTCTGGATCGTCCTGTTCTTCGCCTGATGGCTCCTCTTCTTCCTCCTCTTTCTCCGCTTCCCCTATCTCCTCGTCCTGCGCTGCGTTTCTCCTTGCGATCGGGTCCCAAAATGTGAGATCGGTAACGTCGATCTCCAAGTAAAGCGCCTGGGAGGGGTAGAGACAGTTGTCCTCATCAATCTCCGTACACGTGGACCACCCAAGGTGCGGCTCGAGCGTTCAAGACAGCACGTGGGTGCCAGGCTGCTTGTCACTGTGTAACAAGATGTCCAGGGGCAGACCGTCCACCAGCTGAGTCACAAACACCAGCAACTCGTCCGTGATCAGGGTGAGATTGCCCTCCTCCACCTTCCCGAATACGATTCCTAGCAGGTCGCCCTGCTCCGCCGTTCTCCAGGCTTGGATGATCAGAAGTTCCACGCTGTCTTCTGGGTGCTCTGGTCCTTCTCCGAACGGGGCCGCTTCTGACCAGCGGAACTCTATCTCCAATAGACAGAAAGCGAGCTCAATATATTCCTCCCACCACGTGTCCCGCTTCTCCTCGCTCAATAGCGGCGCACTGTTCTCCTTAACACCGTAGGAGAGAGTAGGAGCCCGCGCAGACTGCCAAAGGGTGGGGATGCTGGAGGGGAGACCGAAATAGGAGACGCGACGATGACTCATTGGGGCGGTGCGAAGGGACGAAGCTCCGGAAGCACGATCGCTGGCGAGCTTCGAGACGAGCGGAGCTGGAGGTCCGTGTCATGCGCCGGCACGACGGTATCTCCTCGTCGAGCCAGGAAATCTGTCCACGCTGTCTGCACTTCCCCAGCCCAGGCGTGCAACGTCCGATAGATGTCGGAGTGAATCGCCGGCGGAATCGCTGTGATATCTCCTGTAAAGATGACGACGACGACGATATGACTAATCCCGGGAGGGGATAGCCGTCGGAAGGCCGAGATCTCGGCCAGAACGCGCGTAGTTGCCTCTTCCATGAATCAGAACTCTGCCGCCGCGTAGATCGCCACCGTGGTGAAGAAAGCTGCAAACCGGAGGAGGTCAGAGCAGAGATGGGGCCGCTGCACCTTCCGTATGACACAAATTTGCCCCCGCGGAGTAAGAAGCCGTGCGCCGATCACTTGCTCCGTTGCAAAGCTCATGGCGATGGTGACGGGGTAATTGAGAAAGAACAGGAAGGAGACAGAGAGATAGGAGAGAGGTAGTCGTCGCCTTCCTCCGCAGTGGAGGAAGAATCGGGTGAATGCGAAGATGGAGAAGGAGGAAGGGGACGGAGGTAGGACACGTGGCAGATGATCGGGCGGGCCGATCGGCTGCCGGAGACCTCAGGTGCAAGTTGCACGGTGTTCACTCCGTTCGGTCCGAGTTGGATCACGTGAAATCGCCTGAAGAATCGTGGCGCTAGCTTACCTTGGAGAGCACATTTCCTTACCTGCACGATGTCCCCTAATTTGTATTGGGGTCGTGGGCCTGCGTTCCCATTCCGGGCCTCGTAGCTTCGGGCCTGTCGGCCTTGGGCCAACTCGGTCATTCTGTGCCTTTTTCGGGCTAGCCTGGGCAGGGACCGTTCCATTAGTTCCAAGTGTCGTTTGGCCTTGTCCCGAGCCGTAGCCCTGGTGGTCGTCAGTTCAGTGTAGATTCATCCGGGAGGCTTGGTATCGAAACACAAGCGACGCTATTGGTCCTTAATTGGAAGGGGCTTAGCCCCGTCGATTCATGATGTGTACCACGATGGACCGCCAGGATGTAGTCAACGATATCGGGCCAGGGCCTCGGATCCCGTGCCGCGATATTTCGCCGCAGCGCTGACTTTATCACCCTGTTCGCGTTCTCTACCAGCCCATTGGACTGTGACATGTGGGGTGCGGTGTTCCGTATGGCGACACCATGTATGACCAGGTTTCTCATTGCCTATCCCCTAAATTCAGCCCCGTTATCGGTCAGGATCTCTTCCGTATCCTGGTGCATCCCGAGGAAGCGGTTGATGTATCGCGCGATTTCGGCGGCTTGTCGCGTGCGACAAGGGTAGGCCTCAATCCATTTCGAAAAGTGGTCGACAAATACCAATAGGACTGAATACTCACAACTATTAGGACCAGGGAGCACCACTATGTCGGTAGTGTCCATGTTGACTCTTTGAAAAGACCGTTCAAATATTGTTGGCACTATCGATCTTGGCGGCTGAATCAGCGCCTTATCAGCGACGCAGACTTGACAGTTGGCGACAATGTACTTCACATCGTCGCGGATATTGGACCTGTACCACTCATTCTTGTCGATAGCCGACTCTGTGATCCGTACGGCGAAATGAGCCGCAGTTTCTTCATGTGTCGTCTTAACCCAGTCATACCTCATGAACGGATGCGACACAACCATCCAAATCCCAATGCCGTCTGTTTTCCATTTTTCTAATCTGCCTTCTATCCATCTGTAATCTTGAGCTCTCTCGTTGACCCTCCTTCGATCTTTCTTGGTGGAATCTTGGAGGGGGTTGCCAACTAGGGTGGCAATCAAGGCAATATCAGTCCACACTTCGGCCCTTCTAAACTTCCGGGTCTTTTCCAATCCTTCTGACGTGGCATCCAAAAAGCGAGCCTCAGTCGGAATCTTGTCAGTCCGACACAAGGGGCACAACTACGGTTTACTGTCGTTTCTTTATTGGATGCACGAGCCATGGGCTCGTGCGACACACTGTCGACAATCTATCCATTCCACATACCCTTTCCCGTTAGGACGCATGGAGACCGAGGTCACGTGGGAGATAGCTTTGCAAAAATAGCAAAATTTGTCAGGCAGGGAGAGGAGAGACGAAAAGGAAAGGGGAGAAAGAGGGGTAGTGGGGTTACCTCCGTCACCCATTGCCACCGTTCTGCTTCTTGCCACATGGGAGAACTGCCACTTGTCCGTACTTAGGCTCGTTTGTCAAKTCCGGYTCCTTCCACGGTGTAATTTCCTCACCCTTTGATACTTTAGCAGGTCGATGTAGACGTGTCAGTCCGTCCGCGTTGCCGTGTCGCTCTGTCTTTCGATGAACGATATCGAAGTCGTATTCTTGTAGTCGCACCGCCCAACAGCCAATCATGCCCATGTAATAAGTGAGTTTCTTCAATGTCAGTAAAGGTTCGTGATCTGTTACGAGGCGAAACTTCTGTCCGTAGAGATACGGATGGAAGTGCTGGATTCCCCAGACTACTGCATAGCATTCGCCTTGAGGTGCTGAGTCATTCCTCCGCTCGTCCGGTACCATACGCGACGCGTACTCGATGACGTGTTCACGACCATCGTTCCCTTTCTGCGCTAGAATAGCGGAGATAGCTTCCGGTTGCCAGTTCGTGATGAGAATGAACTGCTTCGAGGGGTCTGGTCGAATCAAAATAGGGGCTGTTGCCAGAGCGTCCTTGAGGGTCGCGAAGGCCTGTTGGCACTCCTCGTCCCAACTGAGAGGCTGGTCCTTCCGTAGCAGGTTCGTTAGTGGTTGTGCAATCGCGGCGAAACCCTTGATGAAGCGACGATAGTACGATGCCAACCCTAAGAAGGCTCGAACCTGTGTCAGCGACATGGGAACTGGAGTTTCTCTTACCGCCGCAACCTTTCTTGAGTCCGGCTGCAGTCCTCCACGTGTCACGACGTAGCCCAAGAACGAAATTTCCGAGCGAAAAAACTCACTCTTCTCGAGCGCGATCTTGAACCCGGCGTCTCTCAGCGCTCCAAATGTCCACTTGATGTGTTGCGCATGCCCGTGATAGGTCTCCGAGTAGACGAGGATATCGTCCATGTACACGATCACGCAGAAGTTGATCATTCCCTGTGTTAGCCGCGTCTTGTTGACGAAGTTCTGGAATGTCATGTTCATTGCTCGCTGAAACGTGGCAGGCGCGTTGCAAATCCCCATCGGACACCGAACCCACTGCCATGTGCCTTCAAACAACATGAAGTCCGTCTTTGGCCGATCTTCCTCCTTCACCAGAATGTGATGGAAAGCCATGCTGAATATCAAACTTGCTAAAATAATTGGCGCAACCAATCGCATCCAACAAATCATCAATTCGGGGGAGGGGATACACATCTTTAATCGTGATTACATTCAGCTTGCGATAATCGATGCATATACGAATTGATCCGTTTTTCTTCAGCACTAATTTTACGGGAAATGACCATGGTCCGGTGGCGGGTTCAATCCACCCGCTGGCTTCAAATTCCCGAATTCGTTCAAGAACCTTTTTGTGCTCTATCAGGGAGTATCGGTACGTCTTGCAGTGGATCGGGGAGTGATTCGAATCCCCGTCTGTATTTCGTGTTGAATGACTAACGACAGGCCAATGTTACTGTCGGTTACGCTAATCGCTTCCCGATATTCCGTCAAGATGTCCGCAATCAACCGATGAATCTCATCGAGTACGTACTGGGGCACGTGTAACTCAAAGAGTTGGTCCCAGATCCATACGTCTATCTGCTTTGTGCATGCGGGTTTCGCCACATCGGGTGGGGGTGCAGAAATAAAGGAATGGTCCGATCGCTAGGAGAACACCGTGGCCATCATCTGGGTGTCTTCTTTCCGAATGGCCACGTATCCTTCTGGGGTGATTCCGTCACAAACATCCTGCCATGGTATGGTCTTAGTTGCGATCTTTACTCCAAGTTCGTTTGAGTCAGCTTCGAGGCGCCCAGGGGGTTCCAAAGAACTGGATTCTGCCCCCAGGCGCAACAGTCGCACTTCTTTGGCAGGTGTCAAGAGGGACCTTGGTAGATCCGTAATGTCGCAGTAATGTTTTTTGTCGCTGTATCGGGAGAGAAGCGAGGTGATCCCTTTGTACAGGGTTTGAGGGGGTCCCAAGGAATCGACCATCCTCGAAATCTGCACGAGGGGTTCACCCAAGATCATCGCCTTGGTCCTTTGAACGTTCCTACTGGTCAGATGCATCGTTCTTGTTATCGTTCTGGGTGGCGGGTAGTAAACACGCTGCCGTGCTAGCTTCGAGATTTGCGGGTCGTCCTCATCACTGTTGTCCGCATTATTCGTTGATGACTCCCCATCTGCGGATTCATCCCAGGAGATCATGCGGAGAGTCCCTGCCATCATCGGCGAAACCCGGGGGACCGCGTTGATGGTGGTGCGAAGGGTTAGTCTCATAGGCACAGCATAGGGCTTTCCTCCTATATTTCGGAGGACGATCGATCGTCGTTCGAAATCCAGGTTCGCTCGTAACGCCACAAGAGCAGGAAGTCCGAAGAGAACGTCGTAGGTATTCACATCTAGCACAACGACGTCTCCTAGTGCGTGCACCTTTCCTAATAAAAAAACAACATTGGTCATTCTTCCCACCGTCTTAATTTTTTCTTCGTTGGCTGAAACGAGCTGATCTTTCTCGGAAAGCATGATCAAATCGTTCCTCTACCTGCCCTCTCGACCACTCTTAGTGAAATAGCCAACACAACCGCCCCCGAATCTTTAATTGCGTTATAAGGAATTCCCCAAATTTCAATATCGCATTCTGCGGATTTCCACGGGATGGGTTTAATCCGTAGGAAGTGATCGTCTTTCTGGATTAGCCCTACCCGAATTGGATCCGTCGTGCCAACCGGGTTTTCCTCGGGCGCGGGGTTTTTAGACTTTACATTTGGTATTCGGGCGAGGGCGAATCGTTTCCGGTTCGCCTTGCAGTGCTGTAGCATTCGTTCATTAGCTTGCTCAGAGATCGAAAGCAAATGCCCGATTGGAAACGGAATCCGATGGTCCAAGGCTCGAACGATGTTAAGCACATCGATTTCCCCAGTGACGAAGGTGGGACCTCCCAACTACATCTCCCCTGGAGAAGGTCGCCACACTGCCACTTCTTTTTGTTCTGGCGCTGGTCTGATCGTTCTGATCATTCCAAGCCCGGGATAACCAAGTGATACGTACTGATCCAACGGGATAAGCTCGGCGGCCTCTTCCGAGGTGGCTAGGGCACTTCCCCCACCCTCTACTTCTTCCATTAAAGCTCCGACTCGTCCTGGTCCATTAGCGATGGGGGCCGCAGCCATCGGTGCGACCCCGACACGTTATTGAGAAGGCCTGTGAGGGCAATCACGGGCTAGATGCCCTGGTTGATGACATGCGTAACAGACGTTTAGATTGCTTGCGACCCCCCCAAGAGCGGGTGCCGGGGCTAACCCTTGTTGAATCGGAGGGGCGCACACCGCAATGGGCCGCATATTCCTCATCATGGCTTCCAATCGAGCATTGTGCTCTCGCTGCTCCTTTTTGCTTTCTTGGATCAAGCTAATCAATGTTTTGGTTAGTTCGAATATGGTTGCTGATTTGTTCGATCGTACGGGAGCCTCAATTGGTGGCGGGGGTAACGCTCTTACAGGTGTGGGTATCACGGGAACGGGGGTGCTCGGAATCTCACTTAAGGTAGGTCGTTTGGGGCCTATCTGTTCCATATAGGTAACAGGTCCTGATACAAATCCCATATTTTCAAACTTGTTCTGTAATGCAGCCAGCTCAGCTCTCGCTCGTGCGAGTTCGGTCGAATCTCCTTCTCTAGAATAATCTTCTCCTTCGAGGAAGTTCACCGCGAACTTCCGTTCCATTTGTTCCGCAGCAGCCATGATTTGTTGCAGCGTGTGAGTGAGGGGGAAAATTGCTTTCGCAACTTAATCCTTATTGTTCGACTGCGAAACCCATCAATGAACAAATTTTTCCCTACCTGTTCACCTCGCTCCGTTTTCACAAACATTCTGTAGAACCGGTTTCGATATTCTGCAACAGATTCGAGAGGTTTTTGCACTCGGTCCTTGATCATGTACAGCGCTTGCTCGGGGTGAACATAATCAAATCGATTCATGAAATCCCGTTCGAAGGTCGGGAGATCAACCCATACGTAGGTACTAAACCAATGATGAGCGTCTTCTCCCATTCGAACCGGAATGTTGATCTGTGCTTCGTTATCATCGTACTGTTGTGCTCTAAGCGTGGCCAGCCATGCTCCTGCGAGATGATGTGCTAGATCGAATAGATAGAGATCAGATGGCGTCATGGGAGCCCGTGCTCGTGGGGCCGGTTGATTAGGGTTTGGTTGATTAGCATTCTGTTGCGGATTCCGATTCTGTACATTAGCCGCCATATTGGCTGCTTGTCGATTCGCCGATCTGCTACGGGTGACGATAGGGTCGCGTCTAGGCGCGTTTCGGGGGCGAGGTCGCCCTCGGTTAGCCAGATCGCCTAATTAGCGTGCTATTTATCCTAAGACCCGACCACGTGTCGGGCTCCGATACCAACTTCACGCCCAGCGCGACTTCCTTATCGGAGTGGGATGTGGGTTTGGAAGTGCGAAAAGGGGTGTGCCAAGGATTTTTGGGAAAGTGGAGTCCCATGTCAGAACTGAGATCTCCTGTGACAGGGTCTTTCGGGGGCACGAGTGCAATTTGGCGAAGAAGGCGTTTTCGGGTTACAAGGCAGATGGCATGCGTGGTTCGCTCAAGACCGAGCGAGCCATTGGTTTCGAAGATGGTTGTTCATGGGCTGGCCCCTTCGAGGAGTCCGTCTGTCGGGAATTGCCACGTGGCGCTAATCGTCGTGCGTGCGGGTTAGGCCTTCGGAACTCCGGGGTTCTCTGATCGCCACGTCGTCGGCAGTTTTCGCAGGGTGTGCTGGGCCAGTAGGGGGCTATGGCCGGCCACGGAACGACACTGAGTTGATGGTACGGAAGAAGAAGGCGAAAGGGAGGGAAACTGGTGGTGATGACGACAAATCCCGGGTGGACGAAGTAGTAGGTATGGTCGGGAGAAGGGAAATCAGAGCACCGAGGGTCGCTAGAGGTGGCGCAGTGGAATTCCCGAGGACATAGTCGATTCTCAGTGTGGCAAGGATTTCGCTGCCTTAAGATTTCGTTTATCCAAGGGGTGAAATAATCCGGGTCGTAGGATGAGTCGGAATTCCAGGATGGTCTGATTGCGGGGAGGGATTTGCCTACGTCTGCATGGTCTGATCGCGGCGTGGGGGACGTAGCCGCTCTCCACGCATCGATCCGATCATGCAGACTGCGACTACCAAAAAGCAAAGCAAAAGAAAGAGAAGAAGGGCAGGAAAGACGAAGTGCAAGAAGGAAGATACAGTTACAATGGTGCCCGCCCAAAATTACAGTTACGCACACGATTAAAGGCGCCTACTAATCAGAGTTCCGTTGCAGCCGCATGACGAAGCGCATAGACAAAAGGCGCCGCGCGGCAAGAAAAATCCTAATTACTAAATTCCTAAATTCCTATCTAATGTGAAGAAGCAAAAGCACAAATTTCAGAGGGGAAGTTCGAAACTCCGAGAGCCATCGGGGCTCGACAAAATTCGAAAAAGACTCAAAAGAAAAATTAAAAAAGAACGACGCAATTTCCCACGCGATGTCCGCGCCCAAAAGCTTGGAGTCGAAACAAAAGAAACGACGTCAACATTTATTAATTGCCCGCGCGGTGGCGCATCAGCCATCCAGCCGACCAATCAATCAACCGGCCATCCCAGGACACACCCAGCTCCGAACCCAGCCATTCGAAAAGAAGCGACGAAAAAGACGAAAAAGCAAGGACACTGATGCAATTTCCCACCGTAACTGGTCCAACCTTCCCAACTTAGGACCCTTCATTGCAACTGCGCAGAAAGTCACGCGTTACAGAAAGTGGTTCGTCACAACACCTTAATCAATATCTATTTCTTTGTATTGCAAAGTTGCAAACGCAACCTCTCTCCCAGTGCCGTACCCCCGTTCACCGTTCACGGGGTGTGTGACCGGAGACCGGTCACGGAGTTCACCATGTTCACGACACGGGAGTTCATGGACTTCACGGAAAGCGTTTTTTTTTTTTTTTTTTTTT